ACACACACACACACACACACACACACCACCTTGCAGGCAGTCTTTATCTGGATGGGTTTTGGATGTCATTCCTGGGAACTGCTGGAGCCAACTTCCCATTTCTGGGGTTACTGCACCAAATGCTCAGAGTACCACAGGAACCACTTCCTGGGGTTTTTTGATATCAGCCACTTTCTGTCTGCTGGTTGTACATGCCATGCAGGGGCCTCTTCTTCCATGATGGTTCCACTTCTCGCTCTTCATCTTTCTTGGGTTTCTGCTGCCTGAGGAATTCACTAAACACATAATCGGATGTGGCCATCTTCCTAATGTACTCATGGATCTTTGTAGTTTCATCTTGAGAAGTGTTTTTTACACACAGTAGTCCATGGCAACCTTACTTCGCCTTAGCGTGTAGTCTCAGGGTGCTTTGGAGTGAAACCCTTCATGCATGCTGAGGTCGGGCTTGTCCTCCTTTGACTAGCTGATTATTCCCTGTTTTTGTTACCATCCAACTACACTGCTCATGTTCGAATGACATTCCAGTGTCATTGCTGTAGATCCTAGTGGTATAGATCAGTTAATCAATGTCTCGTTCACTCTTGGAGTACAGTCATCCATGTAGAGGAGGTATCCACAGCCAGATTTGATGACTTCACCGAGGGGGTTCAGGCTTATGAAGAACAGTGGGGGGAGAGCATCTCCTTGGTAGATCGTGCACTTGATGCCACTTGCGCTATTAGCTTGAAGTTGGCCTCTAGTGTTGTTCTTCACATCCCCACTGTAGGTTCTGAGGGTCCCCTTGATCCCTAAGAATTCCAGGATCCATGTGTGGAGCATTGAGTCATTGAGGCTTTCTTGTAGTCAATACAGGCGGTGCACAGGTCGGTCAGTCTGGTCTTACGGTCTCGGGCTACTGCTCTGTCTACCAGTAGCTGCTGTTTTGCCTTTCGTTAGCCCTTCTGAGCATGTCTTTTCCATAGCAGCTGGTTCATTTGTGCTGCCAGGTGCTCATGGAGTGCAGTTTGCTGCTTCAGCCAGTGGGTTTGGATCATCAGGGCCTGGTGTTCTCCAGCTGTTCATGCTGAAGACTCTTTCTTGGATGTTTGCCACTGTGATGGTTACTGGATCCTGTTCAGGAGGTTGCTGTGGTCTACTCTTATGGTCACTGAGCGTTGTTGTTAAGTATCGTCCTTCTCCCATATGGTCTTCCAGTATTGCTCGGTCTCCAGGATTGGTAGGTATTTTCTCATACTGCTTCTCCTACTGCTGATCTGATCGAGCAGTCGTGGTTTGGTGGTCGTCTGGAAAATGGCATTTGTCTGACTGCACTGTGCCACTGTGGTTATGGTGTGGGGCTCTGCGCTGTAGATCCAGTTCAATTAAATTTTACTTATATAGTGGCAAATCACAACGACAGTCGCCTGAAGGCATTTAATACTGTAAGATAAAGACCTTACAATAATACAGAAACCCCCAAAATCAGACACCCCTAATGAGCAAGCGCTCTGGCAACAGTGGGAAGGAAAAACTCCCTTTTACAGCTACACCCTCCAGAAATGCTTCATCTGGGCTCTTATCTAGAAGTTGCTAAGCTTTCTCTTCCACTTCCAACCAACAACATTACATTTTAAGACTTTTATATAAGTTTGTTAAAGTTGTGAGCTTAATTTTAACTGTCGACTTTTGGCCGTTTCATGCGATCATGTCATAAAATAATGAAATCAAATAAAATTTTAATTTAAAATTATGAGGGCATTTGAGAGCGCACCCCTTAGGTCATACAGTGTGTCTCTAATAGCTGACTTTTCATTTGACTAATTGAGGGTCACATGGAGGAATTTTAATTTCTCCTCACTTGAACTGATTTCTGTTTCTCTTCTGTAGGAGTTTGTGATCAACTCTCCGGACTTTGAGGCTGCAAAGTTCTGGGTGGGGAACCTGGGAAAGACTGCTACCCATGCTGTGGTGTATGCTCAGCTCTACACACCTGATCAGGTGTGCCACGGACTGCACTCTTTTGTTGTCCCGGTGAGTTCTGGTGAATTTGAATATCTTTAAAGAAATGGCTGCTTGCATCACAAGGTACAAGGCAACTATCAGCAAGTCCAAGAGCTTTTGTGTTGTCAGGTAGCTATTGAAATAAGACCATCCACTCCAACAGTGTTCAGAGCCATAGGAGACCTCACAGCTAAGTTTCTAGTAACTGATGTGAAGCTCACTACTGCTGTTTTGACACTGTGTCGAGCTTGATCAGAATTAGACCCTGTAAACAAATGTTTCTTTTTATAAAGAAGGAAACAAATTACATTTTTTCATTTAAATATAATTTTAAACTAATTAAAAATAAAAGTTAACACATGCCAGCTACTTGCTGTACTTGACAGTGTGTAGAGGAAACCTGATGACATGAGCTCCTAGAAAGTTCTGAGGGCTGTGAGCAAGCTAACAAAAAACCTGTGGTTATACTTAATATTATCATTTATGTTTTATTTTATTGAGTTATTGTGAGCAACACAAATGTTAACAGAGGGAGGATTTTGCTGAAGCACTCTGTTCATTACTGGTGATGGGAATTGATAAGAATGTAGTGATTCTGATTCCATTATCAATATCAGTTTGATACCTTATCTGTCCTCTTATCGAGTCTCACTGGGTTCTTGTTCACTTTGTTTTGAGAGTCACCGCCGTTGCTAAGCAGCAGGAAAGAAATGACAGTCATGCAGATTAATTCCATGCTGTGGGTCAGATGTGTGTCCACGGTTGTTGAGGTGTTTACCTTCTTTGTTGTGATTACACGTTTCACAGAACACTTAAAAGTAATGCAGTATGATACTTAATTACTCCTGGGAAAAGGATATTTATTATACTACTTGTTACATTAGTTGCAAGTTGCTCTGTAAAAAAGCTAACAATAAAAATAACAACGAGGCTACAACTCCACACGCCAGCACAAATCTTCCATCTCTAAGGTCTTTGTCTTAGTAGAATTCAAAGCTGACTGCAAAAAGAAAAGATGGCTGCTGGGCTCGGCACTCATTCAGCTTTCACTCTGTGTTCTTAGCTAGCTTAGCGTTAGCATGCTCTATTGGCAGATGCTTGCAAAGAATCAAAGTTGTGTGAGGAACATTCTGCGGTTGTTTCTGTCCCACTTTACCGTTTATCTCATCCTTTTGTGCAATAAATGTAAACGTCCATATCCACGCTCTAGACTGTGTCGCTGTTTTCCTCCTCTGACCCGCAGACTGAAATCAGCTGATTGTAGTGCGAGTGCTAGAACTGGATCGATAGGCAGACTAACAAGTCCAAGGAATTGGACTACTGGGAACTGGTTTTCTCAATTCCCATCCCTGTTCATTACAGTTGCAGCAGGCTCAATATTTTCTTGCCTTGTTTGTGCGGGGATTTCCCCACAGTGTGTGCTGGTCACCATTATTGACAGTCTGGTGCAATAAGTAGCTTTGTTAGGAATTGTGCTGGACTTGTCTGTGTTACGGTTTCACAGGGTTGCAATAGCCACATTGGCCAGCAGGTGTCACTGTGGAGATGGGATTCAGATTGTTTTGAAACCTCCGTACGCGCCTCGCTCTGCTCATCTCTAGTACCTGATCATTGTTCAAGCTCAGATGGCGTCCCTCAAGTAACTTTCTTTCAGCTGCACCACAGCAGATATCTGCCTCCGTCTCACCCCGTCCCAAGCATCCTCTCGTTACAGCAGCCCTCTACACGTCTTCCCTTACTGGAGGACATGTAAATCTTTTCTGTGGTTCCTCTTTTCCTGTTGCTTGCATGTCTGTCTAATTTTGTCTCCAGAATGCTTGACCTGTGCTGTCTCTCTAATTTATGTCATTCCTAATTTGGTCTATTCTCTTCACTCTCAATAAAGAAGCCTTAGTATCTCCCACTCTGCCACCTCCAGCTTGTCATCCTGTCAGCAGGTCTCACGTCCACCAGATAAACCTTTCCTTTTCACTCTTACTGCTATTCTTCTGTCACAAATCCTCATGTCAACCTACCCTGCCTGGACTCTGCTATCGCTCACTTGTGCGCTGTGCATAACCTACAACATGGGCTGCATGGCGCTTACAAAAAGGAAGATGCATACAAAAGACTATTTATTTTAAATAAAAGCAAAATGGTGTGTTATTTTCATTATTTCTTAAAAATGATAACTGTGTGAAAAGACTTGAACACCACGATTTCTAAAAGCGTTAGAAATCATGTATGATCAGCAGAGTTGTCATACTGCAGGTATCTTATACTGTGTTATTTTCAGCTGTTTGTGTAGATTTGTGTATTATTTGACACACAGCCAGTTTAGCTGTATTCACTCTGCTCCAGCTGAGAGATCCCAAGACCCTGCTGGCTTTGCCTGGTGTGCTGGTCGGAGACATGGGGAAGAAGCTGGGTCAGAACGGACTGGATAATGGGTAGGTGACTGCACATGCTGCATTTGTAAAATAAGATGGAAAACACAAGCAAATAAAGACACGATGCCCTTGATGTTGTGGAAATATGTTCTCACTGGCTATTGCAGTCACCAGGTAGAGTTGTTGGTCTGCTGGAGTGGTACACAGTGCTTCAGAGTACTGAAAGAACATTACAGTTATCTTCATGAATCTTTTTAACCACACATTTGACATGTAGACTGTATGACTGTGTCTTAGGGGTGGGCGGTATTATGAATGTTTATATTAATAATTTTATCCAAAGACGTTTCCTCAGGTAGTTCCGGAAATAAAGGAAATCGACTCTTTACAAAGTGGAGAATTTGTAAATAGCGTAAAAAATGCTCCAGAGGAACATTAAACTGCTTCAGGAGCTGCGTGAACGAGGCAACAATCCCATCTACACAAAGGTCTTTGATATTTCTAAGGCCATTACTTTCCCATATTTTAAAGGCAGAGTCCATCATGGAGGGAACATATGATTTGAGCTGATCGGTGCTTTAATTGACATTAAGTGTAACCCAAACCTTTGCACCCAGATTCTGAGCGAGTCATACAGCAAAGGGTTACGTTTATAGTCGTACAGTTCTAATGGGAGAGCTGCACTCAACAAAGCTCATAGGCACGTTTGACTCAATGACTCAATTTGGAGCCAAGCTGGAGTCTCTGTAGTGAAACTACTCATCCAGTGCAGCATATTTCAAATATTTGCTGCCCAATAATAAGACTGAAAGTTTGGCCTAGTCCTCTGCATGAAATCTTTACGAGTTCGTGGACTTTTGCCATTCCAAATAAATGCAGAGATATGCTTAGTCAGTGTTATAAAATACTTATTGGGTAAGTAGCATGGGTTACATTGAAATAATTAAAGGAACTTGGGTCGTATGTTCATTTTGATAGAACTGATGCAGCCAGTTAATGACAGTGGTAAACTGGTCCATCTCTGAAGATCAGTCTGCGTATTCTCAAGCAGCGCGACAAAGTTTCTTTCATAAAGACCTTTGTATGAGTGGGTAACCTTAACCCCCGATAGGTCACATACTCTGATTTAACTTTAAATTGGAAATTTGAAAATGAAACCTTCCTGGCTACAGAGTGGACACAGAGAAGTTCACTTTTATGCAGGTTCAACTTGTAACCTGAAAGTTTGCCAAAACATTCAAAAATGGCGAGAGCACGGGGAAGAGAAGATAAAGGCTCTGACATATACAGCAGGAAGTCGTCAGCATATAAGGATATTTTGTGCTCCTGGTCAGCTCTGATGATGCCCTTAATGCAACTGTCAGCTCGCAGCTTAATCACCAATGGAGCAATTGATAACGCAAAAAGAAGAGGGGACATTTCATTGTTTTTCTTTATGCTACCTGTTCTGACCTGTCTCACCGATGTGACGTTTGTGTAATGTATGTATGGCTGGAAGAGGTCTAATTTCGCTGCAGGCAACTGCAAGTGAAAAATAAATCATCATCAACATCCTCATCCTCCTCGATTTCTCAGTTTTA